GATGTGTAGAAAGTGAGGGGGAAGGCTCTGCAGGTATCCGCAGATGGACAAGCCAGGGAGAAGGAACTCTAAGCAGACAGTCCTGAGACAGGAGCTTGCTCAGCATGTAAGAACAGCAAGGAGGGTCGGCACTTCTGGACAGAGTGGGCAGCGTGAAGAGTAGTGGATGAGGGCTGTGAGTGGAGAGAGATCATGTAAAGGCTTGGTAGAGAATGGTGTTTTCATTGCAGTGGAGATGGTGAGCGTAGACGGTTGTAGCACAGGAGTGATATGAGCTGAGACGTGTGGAAGGAGCACTCCATCTACTCTGTGAGAACAAGGCAGGACAGCACAATGGGCAATCCATTGTAGGAGCTGAGAATGCTTAGCGGTGCCTGTGACTTGCCAAGTGGGAGATGTCGGAAGCTTGTAGGAAGGTGGTTGGAGCGGTATTCTGAGAATGGTTGGAATATGGAAACACTGTGTGACAGAGCTAAAGGGTTGGCTGAAAGAGCAGATGTAGACGGTGAGAGAAAGGCAGCAGAGGAGGATGGTTCCAGAGCCTTTGCCCAGAGACACTGCAACAACGGAGTTGCCATTTACTGAGATGGGGATGAGTTTGGATAGAGCAGGTGTTGGACGTGCTGATAGTTTGAGATGCCAGCTAAACATCCGAGCAGGCATGTCGACTATTCAGTAAGATGGTTGGGTCTGGATTTCAGGACAGACATGATCGAGAGATGCATATTTGAGAGCTGTCTATGCATCAGTGACACTTCAAGCCATGGGGACTGGTCGACATTACCTAGAGAGGGATTATAGCCAGAGAAGGGAAGGGATCCGAGGACTGGGTGAGGACTTAGCTCTAGGGTGTCCCACATGTAGATGCTGCTACAAGGCAGCAGCGTCAGGAAATAAGTCAGAGAGAGACGGGACACAGAAAGACTGGACACAGTGTGGTAGAGTACCACCACAGGAGAGCTCTGTGCAAAAAAACATGAAAAGAGTGTTTGCATGACAAACCCATGAAAGCAGGAAATCTTCTTGGCTCTATGGTTAACATATGTCCAGAAAGTGACCTCTTATCTCACCCCACTCTCCAGTGTGGTGCAAGTCACCTTCAACTTCCTCCCAGTCAACGGCACAAGTCTTTAACTGGTCCTCTGCTTCCATTCCGACTGCCCTTATAGCCTACTGTCCACCCAGCAGGTAGAGTGATTCTTTAAAAATGTAAGGCATGTCACACTAACTTTTTTTTTCAATGGGGTCTCGCTATGTTGCTGGGGCTGGTCTCAACTTCCTGGGCTCAAGCCATTCTCCTGCCTCAGCAAATAGTGTTGGTGGCTGCATAAAGACAGAACTGAGGGTTGATCACGTGATTTGACAATGGAGTTATTCACTGGTAACCTGTAGTAGAGCTGGATGGGGGCAGAGGGATGCAAGCCTTATTCTACTAGAATTAGTAGAAAGGATGGTCCAGGCAAGGTGGCTTACGCCTGTAATCCCAGCACTTTGGGAGGCCGAGGCAGGTGGATCACCTGAGGTCAGGAGTTCAAGACCAGCCTGGCCAACTTGGTGAAGCCCTGTCTCTATTGAAAAAAAAATTAGCTGGACATGGTGGTACATGCCTGTCACCCCAGCTACTCAGAAGGCTGAGGCAGGAAAATCGCTGGAACCTGGGAGATGGAGGTTGTAGTGAGCCGAGATTGCACCACACCACTCAAGCCTGGGCAACAGAAAGAGACTCCATCAAAAAAAAAAAAAGTCTCCATCCTGATTAGTATTCACAGAAATGAGATGCATACCTACAAAAGAACGTCACTGCATATCACAGGCTTGGTAATTTTTTTTCTCTGAGATGGAGTATCGCTCTGTCACCAGGCTGGAGTCCAGTGGTCCAATCTTGGCTCACTGCAACTTCCACCTCCCAATTCAAGTGATTCTTCTGCCTCAGCCTCCCGAGTAGCTGGGACTACAAGCATGCAACACCAGGCCCAGCTAATTTTTGTATTTTCAGTAAAGACGGGGTTTCACCATGTTGGCCAGGATGATCTTGATCTCTTGACCTCATGATCTGTCCTCCTCGGTCTCCCAAAGTGTTGGGATTATGGGCATGAGCCACTGCACCCAGCCTAGGCTTGGTAAAATTTAAAAGAGTCACAGCACCAGTTATTATTGAGAATGTGCAGTATTAGAGATTCCCAATCTGCTTTTGGAATGCAAACTAGCACACTGTTTTGCAATGTAGTTTGTTATATTCTAGTTTAATGAAATTTTGCTTACCCTATGACCTAGTATCTACTTCTAGGTTTCTATTCTAGAAGGTTATATGCACTTGCATCATGGTACATAGACAATAATATTCACAGTGGCAGTGTTTATGATACACCCTCAAAGCAAAGGATAACAGATAAAGGATCATGAGTCACAAGGGATTCACACAGAGAAATACCAGTGCTGTGATATGAAGAGGAATGAACTTTGGCTTCACACAATAATATGGAGGCAACTTAAGTGAACTATGAAATAAAAGAAGCCCTATAAAAAATTGTACTTTCCCAGCTACTCAGGAGGCTAAGGCAGGAGAATTGCCTGAACCCAGGAGGCGGAGGTTGCGGTGAGCCGAGATCGCATCATTGCACTCCAGCCTGGGTAACAAGAGCGAAACTCCGTCTCAAAAAAAAAAAAGAAGTTGTACTTTTATGTATTCATATGAATTCTAAACACAGTGAAATGAAGCTGCATGTTATACGTTGCATATTTAGAAGGTAAAAGTACCAAAAAATAGTGAGGAAGCTGTTAATCTACAAAAAGTTCAAAAAATAAATGTTATTCAGGAATGGTAGCATGTAGTTGTCTTCCCTGGTGCTTGGAGGCTGACGCAGGAGGACTCCTTGAGCCCAGGAGTTCAGGGGTGCAGCAAGCCATGATCACACCACTGCACTTTAGCCTGGGTGACAGAGCAAGATCCTGTCTCTCAATAATAATAATAATAATAATAATAATAATAAAGATAGCATCCTGGGTACATCTGCAAGTTGAGGGATTTGTAATTATAAATAGGTGTCTATGTTTATTCTGTGGAGCTCAGAGTATTGATTGTTTTAACAAAATTATGCTTACAGCTTTTCTATTTTTCATAATTCCCCCAAGTCTACATTTATGTTACAAATGCACTTTTCAGCCAGGCACTGTGGCTCACACCTGTAATTCCAGCACTCTGGGAGGCTGAGGCGGGCAGATCGCCTGAGGTCAGGAGTTCAAGACCTGCCTGGCCAACATCGTGAAACCCTGTCTCTACTAAAAACACAAAAATTAGCTGGGCATGGTAGCTGGCACCTGTAATCCCAGCTACTCAGGAGAATCACTTGAACCTGGGAGGCACAGGTTATAGCAAGCTGAGATCATGCCACTGCACTCTAGCCTGGGCGATAAGGGTGAAACTTTGTCTGAAAAAAAAAATGCACCTTTTAGTGAATGTAATATATTCCAAAATTTAAAATGGTAAAAACAGACAATAGGTGATGAATAATGCAGAGTGCAACTATGTTCTCTTTCTCAAAGCCATTCATTATAAAACAGACAAGATTCGGATGGTTAGTGGAGAATGATATGGTCTGAATGGAATGGTTTCATTCAGAAAGTATAGCATATAAAGAGGTTGATCCAATAGATAAACACATTTTTAAGATTAGGAGAAGGGCCCATCATACACATGGAGTTCATAAGAAAGTGAAATGAAAGGAGATCTAATACACAAGTGAAAGAATTCATCTTAGAGCAGACCACGGATGATTCATCCATGAATCATACAGGTTGAATGATATAGGTGGATTCATCTGGGTGCTACATTTTCTTCTTCTTCTTCTTCTTCTTTTTTTTTAGTGAAATATGAGGCAAGAAGAAATCAGGAGAATGAGCTGACCAGCAAAAGGCACTGGGGGTAAATTTGGAGATCATGAATGTGCCATTAGTCAGTACAGGTAAATCAGCGTGTGGGTTTTCCTGAAGACATTTTTAGCCACCAGGGCAGGCATGCAACAAGTACAAATAACATACAGCAGATGACACACTGTACTACTCATACCCGGGAGTCCCTTTATTCATTCAAAAATCATTCTTTTTCTTCTACTCTTGGACAAGGCCTCTTGCATGCCTGATGGTATCAGGATGAACAAATAGAGGTGGTCACTGACAGCACAGAGATTATATTCTAACACAGGGGAGACTTTTAGGACACCTACCTTTCAACACACAGAAGAATAATCTTAGCACCTCCATATGTGAGGCTATCAGTAGGAGAGTGTAGTTCTGGAGGTAACAGCCAATGGTGCTATGATAATAACATAAAATAGAAAGCTACTCTGTTGGCATATCCCATGTACTCCTTTGGACAGTATTATAATCAGATTATGGAAACTCAATTATGATGATGTTAAAAAATGGGTCTGTTTGGATGTAGTGACTCACGGCCATAATCCCAGAACTTTGGGAGACTGAGAAAGGGGATTGCTTGAGGTCAGTAGTTCAAGACAAGCCTGATCAACATGATGAAACCCCATCTCTACTAAAATACAAAAATTAGTCGGGCATGGTGGTGGGCGCCTGCAATTCCAGCTACTTGGGAGACTGAGAAAGGAGAATTGCTTGTACCTAGGAGGTAGAGTTTGCAGTGAGCTGAGAACAGACCACTGCACTCCAGCCTGGGCAATAAAAGTGAAATTCAGTCTCAAAAAAAAAGACTACTGTGCCTTAACTATAGGTCACCAGCCCACTGGGGTCTATGTTGGGACACAGGGTAGCCACCTCACTTGCATTTTCTAACAGCCTGGCCCCTGAAATGCTGACACACATATCTATAATGCCTCACTGAGCAGAAAAGAGCACCCTGGGTAAAGATGTTCATGTGCTCAGAGCATGAATTTAAGAAGAGAGGAAATGGACAGTGGAGTATGCCCACCAGAGAGATCTCCAAGTCCCCTGATCTGGAACATTTGGAGTTAACTGAGCAACGGACAACAGTAGGGGCGGGGGAGGGGTTGTTCCATGTAGGCCAGTTGAGAAAGGCATGAAGATTTTGTTTCCTCTTGCACAGTACAGTCCTGCATTATAGACTTTCTGGTCTTTTTGGTGATACCTCCCTCCATGATGTCAATAGGACTTTAACCAGGGGAACTGAAGCTGAAGCTGAAAGAGAAAGTCGTCAAGAATGGAAATTTCTGAAAGATAAGAGATAGATCCAGAAGACTAGGAAGAGACCTGGCCAGAAAGCTGGGTCTTTCAGAGGTGAAAGAAGCTTTATGCAGCCAACACAGATCTGGGGCTAGTACCTGTGTCTGAGGGTCTGCGTGTCAGGGAGAGCTGCTGCTCATGGACGCAAGTTGCATCATCAACTGATTCCCTAGGGCCATGTCAGTGACAGTCTCAGTGAGAGCCTTTGCCTCCTTCCTGTCTTCTCTGCTGAAACTCCACGTGGTTTTGTATGAGGCTAGGAGGGTGCTTCAGACCTGGGCTGCCCAGATGAAGAGTGTGAGGCTGAGGCTAGTGCCAGGTCTTTCATGTGTCAGGTTGGGGACCATGTTGCTGTTGGGGATAATTTTTCTCTCAAGCACGTACTGTGACATGGTCTCGGTATATTACTCTTCCTATGAAATAGTCATCCCAAAGCGGCTAATGGTCAGGGGAAGTGAAGATCCAGTGGAAAAGGCATCCTATTTGCTATTTATGGAAGGCCAGAAGCACCTGATTCACCTGAAGGTAAAGAGAAGCCATTTTGTGAATAACTTTCCAGTCTACAGTTACCACAATGGCATCCTGGGGCAAGAATCACCTTTTACCTCCCATGACTGCCACTATGAAGGCTACATAGAGGGAATGTCAGGTTCTTTTGTTTCTGTCAACACCTGTGCAGGTCTCAGGGGCATCTTGATCAAGGAGGAAAAATCTTACAGCATTGAGCCCATGGAGTCTTCAAGACGGTTTGAACATGTGTTATATACCATGGCACATCAAGCACGAGTGTCCTGCGGTGTCGCTCCCACAGATAGCCATGTGGTGTCCACTAGCTGGCAACAAGGGAGCAAGAAGCCTTATGATCGACAGGTGCTGTCCTACTTGTGGTCACACCCCAAGTACGTGGAAATGTTTGTTGTGGTCAACAACCAGAGGTTCCAGATGTGGGGCAGTAACGTCAATGAGACGGTCCAGAGAGTAGTGGATGTCATTGCTCTGGCCAACAGCTTCACCAGGGGAATAAACACAGAGGTGGTGCTGGCTGGAATGGAGATCTGGACCGAGAGGGAACTAATAGAGGTCGCAGTGGACTTGCAAGTCACACTCAGGAATTTCAATCGCTGGAGACAAGAGATGCTCTTCCGTCGTGCGAAGCATGACGTTGCCCACATGATCGTTGGGCATCATCCTGGACAGAATACGGGCCAGGCCTTTCTCAGTGGTGCCTGCTCAAGCGGTTTTGCGGCAGCTGTTGAATCCTTCCATCATGAAGATGTGCTGTTGTTTGCAGCCCTCATGGTCCATGAGCTCGGGCACAACCTGGGTATTCAGCACGACCACTCGGCCTGCTTTTGTAAAGATAAGCATTTTTGCCTCATGCATGAAAATATCACAAAAGAAAGTGGCTTCAGCAACTGCAGCTCTGACTACTTCTACCAGTTCCTTCGAGAACACAAAGGGGCCTGCCTATTTAACAAGCCATGGCCCAGGGCCCGCAAGCGTAGGGATTCCACCTGTGGAAATGGCATGGTGGAGGACACGGAGCAGTGTGACTGTGGTTCTGCCTGTGACCTCGACCCATGCTGTGATCCCACATGCACTCTGAAGGAGAATGCTGAGTGCAGCCATGGCCTCTGCTGCCAGGACTGCACTTTCAGAAGGAAGGGGTTTTTATGTCGTCCTACTCAGGATGAGTGTGACCTCCCAGAATATTGTGACGGGAGCTCTGCAGAATGCCCTGCAGACAGCTACAAGCAAGATGGCACGCTGTGTGATAGAATTCACTATTGCTCTGCGGGTCAGTGTAAGAACCCCGATAAGCAATGTGTGAATATATACGGGTACCCTGCAAGATCTGCCCCAGAAGACTGTTACATTTCAATGAATACCAGAGGAGACCGGTTTGGAAACTGTGGACGTCCCACTGAGGATCAGCAAAAGTATGTTACATGTTCAAGTGATAATGTATTTTGTGGGAAACTCGTATGTACAGGTGTTGAATCCTTACCACGACTCAAAGCTCAACATACAATCATCCAGGTCCCTCATGACGATGACTGGTGCTGGAGCATGGATGCCCATAACATTACTGATATCCCTGATGATGGAGATGTGCACATCGGCACTTCTTGTGCCCCAAACAAAGTCTGCACGGATTACTCCTGCGTCCATCACTCTGTACTCCTGTATGACTGCAGACCAGAGGAATCGTGTCATGGGAAAGGAGTTTGCAACAATTTAAGGCACTGCCATTGTGAGCTTGGTTTTGCTCCTCCTGACTGTAAAAATCCAGGCAACGGAGGTAGTGTGGACAGCGGCCCTGCTGGTAAGCCAAGTGATGAAAGTATAAGTACAGAAGAAAATAGAAATCGTAGTGGTGGTCAGAGTAATCCCCAAAGAGGTTACGTGACTAATGACAAAAATAAAAGCCTAAGGAAGTTACTGTACATAGCCCCCATGTTGCTTTCAGCATTATTTGTAGTTCTAATTATTCTTGCCAGTATGGGAGCTAGAAAGGAGATATTAGAGCGTTCAGAAGATTACACAGAAGCAATTCCAGAAGAGGTTGCACCAGAGCAGAAAGTAGGCAAAGGACAGGAAGAAGAAGAGGCGAAAAATGAGTTGTCCAATAAAGCTAACAGTGGATACACTGGGTGAGTAGTAAGCTCAGTGCTTCAGAGAAGCAGGCGTTTATGCTGCTGTGCTTCTGACCAAAATCTGTATTCTGTAAAATGTACTAATACAGAAGGAGGGATTTTCCTCTAATTTCTTCATTTTAGTAATTGATTACATGTACATTCAAAATTATATGTAACAGAAACTACTATTTTTACATGATCACATTTAATGAAACCATTCTAATTAAATTTTTGTTATGAAGCATTCCTGTCAATGTTTTATTAAGGCCAATTTTTGCATTGCCTGTTTTTAGGTAATGCCATCTCCCATCTACTTTGTTTTACGTGCAATACTGCCTACATATATAAATATTGCTTTTCTAGAATTTTATTTCCCAACCACAACTACAAATTATGTTAGAAAAGTTGTTTATGAGATGTGTTGTTTTAATTTGCCCTGTGAAGTATATGCATAAAATGAGATTTTAACATAAAGCTACAGAAATGCCTATTTGTGTATATAACATGTAAGTTAGGCGTTTTGTGACCTAATAACTGGGACTCCTAATAGTGGGGGGCTCTCTACAAAAGGCTAGACCCGATTCAGGGACTTCTCAAATTCTCAGTTCAGGTACCTAAAGAGTGGGAAGGCAACCTAGGCAAGATGGTCTTTACTAAGATGCTAAGTTCATGTTTGAATACTTGTTTGTTCATTTTTTTGTCTTAATAATTCTACTGCAGTTCATTTTTCATTTATTGACAATTGATAGGAACATCTCAAATTACAAGTAACAGAACTTTCAATGTGGCAGTCATTTTTCGGTGAAGTAAGGACCCAGTGAATATAACAGTAACATTCTCCATTCTGTGCCAGGCCGTGTGCTAAACGCCTTATATTCACTGTCTTCATTTAATCCTCCCGACTGCCCTGTGAAACCTCCGTCTTGTACATGAGGAAACAGACTGAAGTTTGCCCGAGAGCTAGCCAGGACCTGCATCCCTCCCCAGGAATGAGTGAATCCCTTGCCTCATGAGCCTTTTTCTTCAGTTGAAAAAAAAAAAAGTGAGGGAAAAGACATGTCCTTAACTGCCCAGAACGTGGCTTCATCCTCAGTGACTCTAACAAAACCAGAGTTGTACAAATGAATGTTGATCCTATCATGAACCTATGGTGTTGTGTAGTCATTATGGATTGAAGAGTCTTTCCCCCTACTACATCCTGACAGCATGGCTGGCAATAAGGTTGGCATCTTGTTTAGCTCTGAGGGCCCAGCTTGTGGTAGGTGCCAAGACAAGTCAATGATTTAACCAGAGCCAACCTCAAAATATGGGGATTGCTAGTCTCTAGGCATGGCACATGCAAAATCTTTCTCAGGAACAACAGAGCTACAGACTGAGCAAATGTTCTGTCTCAGGGAAGATCCTAAGCATCAGTCCCCTAGCATATGCTGCCGAGCCCCTCTTCTGACTGCCCACTCTATGCGAGATAACAGAGCAAACAAAAGGATAACACCTGCTGTCTGCTTATGTTAGTTTCTCTGAGTGAGTGGAATAAAAACTTCGGAGCAACATCTGAAATGAAGTCTTCAGTTGTGGATACGTGACTACAAGTAAAGCAGGCAGGAAAACCAGGTCACAGGTCTCAGGACTGATTCTGATAATCAAATCCAGGTTGAGTTTTATGCCAAAAGATCAAAATTCATGGTGGGAGACCGGGATATCAGGTTGAGCGTGATATCCTGGTGATATCATGCCTGTACTCATAATGCACTTTGAGAGGCCAAGGTGAGAGGATGGCTTGAATCCAGGACTTTGAGACCAGTCTGGGCAACATGAAAAAATTTACCAAGAAAATTTTACAAAATTAGCTGGGCATGGTGGCGCGTGCTTGTAACCCCAGCTACTTGGGAGACTGAGGCAGGAGAATTGCCTGAACCCAGGAGGCGGAGGTTGCGGTGAGCTGAGATCGTGCCATTGCACCCCAGCCTGGGTAACAAGAGTGAAACTCCACCTCAAAAAAAAAAAAAAAAAGCACTTGTACAGTGAACTGGGGAGTTACGGAAGGGGTAACCCTCACAGTGGACATGCTGATGGTCACTGTAATGAAACAGAATGAGTATCACATATTTAAAACATCAAGGACAAGGGAATCACAATATAAATAATGATTTATACGTGGAATGATTATTCTTGGCTGATTTAATAGAGCTCTTTAAGGACCAGAAGGCAAGTAGATAATTGGGAATGACGAAATGAAGCCAACAGAGCATTGGACAAAGACGTCACAAAATTTAGAAAATGAGGAGCTTTTTGTAGTAGACTTTTCAGATTTTATTTGCTTATCCTTATGACTGATTTGAGCTTCAGGACTACAAGCCCATGTTGAAGATGGGAAACCAAGATTAGAACAAGTGTTTGGTTTTTGTTCTTTCGTTTTTGAGATGGGGTCTAATTCTGTTGCCCAGGCTGGAGGGCTGTGGCACCATCATGGCTTACTGCAGCCTTGAACTTCTGGGCTCAAGCAATCCTCCTGCTTCAGTTTCTAAGCAGCTAGGACTACAGGCTCATGCCACCATGCCTGGCTAACTACATTTTTCTTTTCTTTTTTTTTTTTAGAAATGAGGGTGTCACTATGTTTCACAGGCTGGTCTCAAAGTCCCTGTCTCAAGTGATCCTCCTGCTCTGGCCTCCCAAAGTGCTGGAATTACTGGTGTAAAGCACCATGCCTTGCCTAGAACAGGTGTTTGAAGAAATGTTTTCAGAAATGATGTTAGAACATTGAACATATTTGTAAATTCTCACATGAATTCTAAAATATGTAGAAACTCCAAACTCTGGCAATGAAGGCTGGAATCCAACAGAATAGACTATTACAGGGAAGTGACCAGTTTTAATGTGGGCAGGACAGAGAGGATAGGATAGGCCTGAAATCTCCAGAGTTCAAGGGGCAACTTTCTGCATTGCGTATGACTGTCTTTAGGAAGCATATTCTTATGCCTCTCCTGGTAATATTTGGGAGCTTCTGAGCAATGCTCGTACCTTCCAATGACAGCACAATAACACTGGTGGTCACATGTGACCCAGCCACGTGCCACCCCAGGAGACTCTGGTGATGACTTCTTGCCATTCTTTACCTACCTTCTCTGAGTCAATCCTGTCCTATTTGTGCTCTCCTAGGCCAGTGGAGACCCAAGACCTTCCTTTACTTCATCAAAGTATAGCCAAGTCCAGACTCTAGATTTGTATCCTGACATGGGAAAACATAGGAAAATGTTACTGTGGGAAATAAAGAAATGGGATGTTGTAGATATTAATGCTACTGGACAGCCCAGGGGTCAAGCCCTTCCCTGGGAAACTTAAAACAGCCATCCCTCTCCTTGACCCCAACCTGACATATTTGCTTGTCCCTTCAGGAATGCCTGATGGAATGTCTTCCTAACCTGGAGTCATACTGCACTCCCTTCTCTGGGGCTCAGTTGAAGAAAAAGAAAAGATTGACCTTAAACCCAGAGGACATTATGGCCTCACGGTGATGCAATTCTGCATACAATGAAGATTATCTCAATATCTCAAGTGTTATATTCGCTTGCCAAAGATAAATCAGCTCCTTCAGAGGTTGTAGCGAGCCAAGATTATACCACGGCACTCCAGCTTGGGCAACAGAGTGAGATTCTGTCTCAAAAATAAATAAATAAAAATAAATAAATCAGCTTCTTTTATTTATAAAGCTAATTCTACAACAGCATTTTGGTATTGCCATTTGATCAACGTGGCCACTGAAGTGTTTCTTCAAAATTAAGGGCAGATTTCTTCCAAGAATAAGGTTGCAATTTGCTGCACCCTTAATATTCATGCTAGTTTTGGACATTATCCTTGAAAAATGTTTGAGCTTAGGGGAATAGGAAAAAAAGACCCAATACTACTTATGGTGTTTAATAAAGATAATTGAATCTTACATAAGGAGGACATGCCAGAATGAAGTATAAGAGGGTGACATGGTTTGGATTTGTGTCCCCATCCAAATCTCATGTCGAATTTAGGGGGGTGCCTGGTGGGAGGTAATTGGATCATGGGGGCAGATTTTCCCCTTGCTGTTCTCTGACAGAGTGTGAGTTCTCATGAGATCTGATGGTTCAAAACTGTGTCACACTTCCCCCTTCGCTCTCTGTCTCTCCTGCCACCATGTGAAGAAGGTCCTTGCTTCCCCTTCATCTTGCACCATGATTGTAAATTGCCTGAGGTCTCCCAGTCGTGCTTCTTGACAAGCCTGTGAAACTGTGGGTCAATTAAAACTCTTTTCTTCATAAATTACCCAGGCTCAGGTAGTTCTTTATAGTAGTTTTAAAATGGACTAATAGAGGATAACCAAGGCGTTGGGAGGAATTTGTCAGTGACAAAGCCGTGGTGACTCTTCCCATGGTTAGGAAATACTTTTTAAAATTTTTCAAAGGAGGGCCGGGTGCCATGGCTCACACCTGTAATCCTAGCACTTTATGGGCAGATCACTTGAGGCCAGGAGTTTGAGACCAGCCTGGAAAACACAGTGAAACCATGTCTGTACTAAAAATACAAAAAATTAGCTGGGTTTGGTGGTGCACACCTGTAATCCCAGCTACTCAGGTGGCTGAGGCACAAGAATCAGTTGAACCCAAGAGGTAGAGGGTGCAGTGAGCTGAGACTGCACCACTGCACTCCAGCTTGAGCTACAAAGCAAGACTCTCTCTCAAGAAAAAAATTTTCAAAGGAAAATATCACAGGTGGAATCATGATTGACCAAATATCTGACACATCGTATCTGTTTCATTGCTATAATCTAATTGTGTTCTCTAATATCCTTACTAAGATTCCTCAGACACACATTTTTCAACACAATCTGGAGTCTGGAAACTTTAACTGCTTGTCCCTTATCTACAGTAGAAAATATAAACTCAGTGTGACACTGAAGGACAGTGACAACTAGGCCCTCCTGTCAGTTCGCAACCATTATGGCCTATGGCTTCTGAAAACAAGTATTTCCTCCTATCAGCATGCCTAACATGTCTGTTGTTATCACATACCATGTCCATTTGCCACTCTGGACTTCCAATCATAGTCTCATTTCCAGGGAATGACCTTACTCTTCCCTACCCCTTTTAGTTTAACCCTCACAGCCCCGGTGTGGCTCTTGAAACTGCTCCCACATACCTTTCTCAACTTTCTTTCCCATATGAAACAGGGTATGTTTGAGGATACTCATGGAAAGTGAGACTGAACCTATAGACGAGGCAGTCTGAAACAGACCATCAGGTGGTTGTTTTCTAGGCAATAGGGAGGATATACGCTTCCTTATTAAGTGAAATTTCCAGTTGGTACTGTGAGAGTGAGAAATGTCTTTATTCAAGAGATGTATTCTCGGAACCGCGATTCTGGAGGTGTACTCATGCCTTAGAGGAGAAACAGAAATAAAACCCTGTACAAGACACACAAAATAATCTCTTAAATGGCAACACTTCTGGTAGTAGAGTTTCAATAGTGGATCTAACAGCCATGAGCTGGGTGTTACAGACAGTTTCACATGAAAAATAGAAATAAAAAAGGCATAGTGTCAGTGCTAAGGAACAGGAGAAAAAGCTCTCCCTCATGTCCTCCATTGCCATCCTTTCTGTTTACCCAGCCAAAGCCATCCTTTCTATTTCCATGAATAACTTATGTCATTATAAATAGACAGAGATACAAATAAATATGCTAAGATAAAGGAAAAGACCACCAATTAATTCTTTGGTTGAAAAAAGTAAGAACGGGTCCCCACTTTGAGGTAATAGATGTGTTGTGATTTATGAAAAGCTCCAGACATTCAGGCATCTCTTTATGGAGAAAAGAAAACCGCTGCAATAAAATTACATAAGTGTATCAACTCTCACAACTATGAAGGGTTCGAATGGAAAGTTTTCTGTTTTTATACTAATACACCTAAAATAAGAGCCTGTTAATCTTACGGGCTTTTACAAGAGCAGACAACTTTGGATCAGACTCAGTACACTGGCCGTGTTTATAACCAATGTAAATACCTAAAAATGTTTTACAAAACAACTCAAGAGAAAAGATTTGAGGCACCTTTCTTCACTTTCTTCAGCCCTCCAGGAGCTCCCTTCTTGTCTTGGATACTAAGAACACGAGAACTATGTCAGTTCTGCATCTTGTGTTTTTGCTAGCCTAATAAATCCAAGCAGGAAGAGATTTTTTTTTAGAGCAAAAACGAACCTTTTTAAAAGGGAAAAGGTAATCTTTGTTCTGATTGAGGGGACCTCTGTGTTCCACATTCCTAAATAGCAGGTGTCACGTTCTCACTGCTTCGTCTTTTTTTTTTTTTTTTCTTTGAGACGGAGTCTTGTTCTGTAGCCAGGCTAGAGTGCAGTGGCATGATCTCGCTTACTGCAACCTCCATCTCCTGGGTTCAAGAGATTCCCCTGCCTCAGCCTCCTGAGTAGCTAGGACTACAGGCACGCACCAACATGCCTGGCTAATTTTTTGTATTTCAGTAGAGACGGGGTTTCAGCATGGCCAGGATGGTCTCAATTTCTTGACCTCATAGTACACCTGCCTCGGCCTCCCAAAGTGCTGGGATTACAGGCATGAGCCATGGCATCTGGCCATTTCTTGGTCTTAAGACACAAAGCTGAACTTCCTGAGACCTGGGTTTCCTCCTCAGAAGGTGCCACACAAAGAATGCCTCTCACAGAGTATTTGTGAGGTTAAATTGGATAATGTGTGTGAGGTGACCTAGTGCAGTGCCTGGCATACAGCCGGTGCTAAATGCTGATGGCATCTCAAATTGAATGTCGTGATGAATATAAGATTGTATTATCACTTGTGCATTGTTGAGCAATGGTTAGATTTAATCGCCATCAACTTATAATACTGGATTTCCCTGATATGGCATTCTGACCTACCATGTGGTCACTCGCAGCCATATTCTGTCTCCGGTAGTATACAGCTAATCTCTGTGGGTGAGGAGCAAGTCTGGTTAACTTGGAAATCACTCCTTTGGGCCCAGTTACAGCTGAGGCTGGCATGGACTTTCCTGCTTCCCTCAGAGCTTCATTCAAGATCATAGTGACATTAAAGCAATCTTGTTTCTTGGATACCAAATCAAGAATCCTTATCTTCTGCCTCTTCTGACCCTGTCTTCTATGCTTCGTATCCAAATCTCCAGGGGAGATCTATTGGTCCACTGCAGGCCCTGAAAGAAGTGCCATTGTACAGAGAGGTTTGTACCTGCTGTAGCTTCCTATGTTTTCATTCACTGATTCCACAACTCTGTATTGAGTCTTTATTCACACAGAGTTCTAGGCATGTGGCATGTGGCAGTGAGTAGGACAAAACCTCTTCCCATGAAAATTACGAACTCGAGTTGGGGCAGGTGAGCAATAATCAGGTAACTACACGATATGCCAGATTTTACTATGTGCAGCGAAGCAAAATGAGCAGTGCAAGGGGATTGAGAGTGATGTTAGGGTGGCGTGCTAAATTAAACAGTGGTCACAGGGTCCTGTCTGATAAGGAGTCATTTGAGGAGAGATGTGTAGAAAGTGAGGGGGAAGGCTCTGCAGGTATCCGCAGATGGACAAGCCAGGGAGAAGGAACTCTAAGCAGACAGTCCTGAGACAGGAGCTTGCTCAGCATGTAAGAACAGCAAGGAGGGTCGGCACTTCTGGACAGAGTGGGCAGCGTGAAGAGTAGTGGATGAGGGCTGTGAGTGGAGAGAGATCATGTAAAGGCTTGGTAGAGAATGGTGTTTTCATTGCAGTGGAGATGGTGAGCGTAGACGGTTGTAGCACAGGAGTGATATGAGCTGAGACGTGTGGAAGGAGCACTCCATCTACTCTGTGAGAACAAGGCAGGACAGCACAATGGGCAATCCATTGTAGGAGCTGAGAATGCTTAGCGGTGCCTGTGACTTGCCAAGTGGGAGATGTCGGAAGCTTGTAGGAAGGTGGTTGGAGCGGTATTCTGAGAATGGTTGGAATATGGAAACACTGTGTGACAGAGCTAAAGGGTTGGCTGAAAGAGCAGATGTAGACGGTGAGAGAAAGGCAGCAGAGGAGGATGGTTCCAGAGCCTTTGCCCAGAGACACTGCAACAACGGAGTTGCCATTTACTGAGATGGGGATGAGTTTGGATAGAGCAGGTGTTGGACGTGCTGATAGTTTGAGATGCCAGCTAAACATCCGAGCAGGCATGTCGGCTATTCAGTAAGATGGTTGGGTCTGGATTTCAGGACAGACATGATCGAGAGATGCATATTTGAGAGCTGTCTATGCATCAGTGACACTTCAAGCCATGGGGACTGGTCGACATTACCTAGAGAGGGATTATAGCCAGAGAAGGGAAGGGATCCGAGGACTGGGTGAGGACTTAGCTCTAGGGTGTCCCACATGTAGATGCTGCTACAAGGCAGCAGCGTCAGGAAATAAGTCAGAGAGAGACGGGACACAGAAAGACTGGACACAGTGTGGTAGAGTACCACCACAGGAGAGCTCTGTGCAAAAAAACATGAAAAGAGTGTTTGCATGACAAACCCATGAAAGCAGGAAATCTTCTTGGCTCTATGGTTAACATATGTCCAGAAAGTGACCTCTTATCTCACCCCACTCTCCAGTGTGGTGCAAGTCACCTTCAACTTCCTCCCAGTCAACGGCACAAGTCTTTAACTGGTCCTCTGCTTCCATTCCGACTGCCCTTATAGCCTACTGTCCACCCAGCAGGTAGAGTGATTCTTTAAAATGTAAGGCATGTCACACTAACTTTTTTTTTCAATGGGGTCTCGCTATGTTGCTGGGGCTGGTCTCAACTTCCTGGGCTCAAGCCATTCTCCTGCCTCAGCAAATAGTGTTGGTGGCTGCATAAAGACAGAACTGAGGGTTGATCACGTGATTTGACAATGGAGTTATTCACTGGTAACCTGTAGTAGAGCTGGATGGGGGCAGAGGGATGCAAGCCTTATTCTACTAGAATTAGTAGAAAGGATGGTCCAGGCAAGGTGGCTTACGCCTGTAATCCCAGCACTTTGGGAGGCCGAGGCAGGTGGATCACCTGAGGTCAGGAGTTCAAGACCAGCCTGGCCAACTTGGTGAAGCCCTGTCTCTATTGAAAAAAAAATTAGCTGGACATGGTGGTACATGCCTGTCACCCCAGCTACTCAGAAGGCTGAGGCAGGAAAATCGCTGGAACCTGGGAGATGGAGGTTGTAGTGAGCCGAGATTGCACCACACCACTCAAGCCTGGGCAACAGAAAGAGACTCCATCAAAAAAAAAAAAAGTCTCCATCCTGATTAGTATTCACAGAAATGAGATGCATACCTACAAAAGAACGTCACTGCATATCACAGGCTTGGTAATTTTTTTTTCTCTGAGATGGAGTATCGCTCTGTCACCAGGCTGGAGTCCAGTGGTCCAATCTTGGCTCACTGCAACTTCCACCTCCCAATTCAAGTGATTCTTCTGCCTCAGCCTCCCGAGTAGCTGGGACTACAAGCATGCAACACCAGGCCCAGCTAATTTTTGTATTTTCAGTAAAGACGGGGTTTCACCATGTTGGCCAGGATGATCTTGATCTCTTGACCTCATGATCTGTCCTCCTCGGTCTCCCAAAGTGTTGGGATTATGGGCATGAGCCACTGCACCCAGCCTAGGCTTGGTAAAATTTAAGAGTCACAGCACCAGTTATTATTGAGAATGTGCAGTATTAGAGATTCCCAATCTGCTTTTGGAATGCAAACTAGCACACTGTTTTGCAATGTAGTTTGTTATATTCTAGTTTAATGAAATTTTGCTTACCCTATGACCTAGTATCTACTTCTAGGTTTCTATTCTAGAAGGTTATATGCACTTGCATCATGGTACATAGACAATAATATTCACAGTGGCAGTGTTTATGATACACCCTCAAAGCAAAGGATAACAGATAAAGGATCATGAGTCACAAGGGATTCACACAGAGAAATACCAGTGTTGGGATATGAAGAGGAATCAACTTTGGCTTCACACAATAACATGGAGGCAACTTAAGTGAACTATGGAATAAAAGAAGCCCTATAAAAAGTTGTACTTTCCCAGCTACTCAGGAGGCTAAGGCAGGAGAATTGCCTGAACCCAGGAGGCGGAGGTTGCGGTGAGCCAAGATCGCGCCATTGCACTCCAGTCTGGGTAACGAGCGAAACTCCGTCTCAAAAAAAAAAAAGAAGTTGTACTTTTATGTATTCATATGAATTCTAAACACAGTGAAATGAAGCTGCATGTTATACGTTGCATATTTAGAAGGTAAAAGTACCAAAAAATAGTGAGGAAGCTGTTAATCTACAAAAAGTTCAAAAAATAAATGTTATTCAGGAATGGTAGCATGTAGTTGTCTTCCCTGGTGCTTGGAGGCTGACGCAGGAGGATTCCTTGAGCCCAGAAGTTCAGGGGTGCAGCAAGCCATGATCACACCACTGCACTTTAGCCTGGGTGACAGAGCAAGATCCTGTCTCTCAATAATAATAATAATAATAATAATAATAATAAAGATAGCATCCTGGGTACATCTGCAAGTGGAGGGATTTGTAATTATAAATAGGTGTCTGTTTATTCTGTGGAGCTCAGAGTATTGATTGTTTTAACAAAATTATGCTTACAGCTTTTCTATTTTTCATAATTCCCCCAAGTCTACATTTATGTTACAAATGCACTTTTCAGCCAGGCACTGTGGCTCACACCTGTAATTCCAGCACTCTGGGAGGCTGAGGCAGGTGGATCGCCTGAGGTCAGGAGTTCAAGACCTGCCTGGCCAACATCGTGAAACCCTGTCTCTACTAAAAACACAAAAATTAGCTGGGCATGGTAGCTGGCACCTGTAATCCCAGGTACTCAGGAGAATCACTTCAACCTGGGAAGCTCAAGTGAGATCACGCCACTGCAGTCTAGCCCGGGCAATAAGAGTGAAACATTGTCTGAAAAAAAAAAATGCACCTTTTAGTGAATGTAATATATTCCAAAATTTAAAATGGTAAAAACAGACAATAGGTGATGAATAATGCAGAGTGCAATTATGTTCTCTTTCTCAAAGCCATTCATTAGAAAACACAGACAAGATTCGGATGGTTAGTGGAGAATGATATGGTCTGAATGGAATGGTTTCATTCAGAAAGTACAGCATATAAAGAGGTTGATCCAATAGATAAACACATTTTTAAGATTAGGAGAAAGGTCCATCATACACATGGAGTTCATAAGAAAGTGAAATGAAAGGAGATCTAATACACAAGTGAAAGAATTCATCTTAGATCAGACCACGGATGATTCATCCATGAATCATACAGGTTGAATGATATAGGTGGATTCATTTGGGGGCTACATTTTCTTCTGTTTTTTTTTTTTTTTTTTTTTAAGTGAAATATGATGCAAGAAGAAATTAGAAGAATGAGCTGACCAGCAAAAGGCACTGGGGGTAAATTTGGAGATCATGAATGTGCCATTAGTCAGTACAGGTAAATCAGTGTGTGGGTTTTCCTGAAGACATTTTTAGCCACCAGGGCAGGCATGCAACAAGTACAAATAACATACAGCAGATGACACACTGTACTACTCATACCCGGGAGTCCCTTTATTCATTCAAAAATCATTCTTTTTCTTCTACTCTTGGACAAGGCCTCTTGCATGCCTGATGGTATCAGGATGAACAAATAGAGGTGGTCACTGACAGCACAGAGATTATATTCTAACACAGGGGAGACTTTTAGGACACCTACCTTTCAACATACAGAAGAATAATCTTAGCACCTCCATATGTGAGGCTATCAGTAGGAGAGTGTAGTTCTGGAGGTAACAGCCAATGGTGCTATGATAATAACATAAAATAGAAAGCTACTCTGTTGGCATATCCCATGTACTCCTTTGGACAGTATTATAATCAGAATATGGAAACTCAATTTTGATGATGTTAAAAAATGGGTCTGTCCGGATGTAGTGACTCACGGCCATAATCCCAGAACTTTGGGAGACTGAGAAAGGGGATTGCTTGAGGTCAGTAGTTCAAGACAAGCCTGATCAACATGATGAAACCCCATCTCTACTAAAAATACAAAAATTAGTCGGGCATGGTGGTGGGCGCCTGCAATTCCAGCTACTTGGGAGACTGAGAAAGGAGAATTGCTTGTACCTAGGAGGTAGAGTTTGCAGTGAGCTGAGAACGGACCATTGCACTCCAGCATGGCCAATAAAAGCGAAATTCAGTCTCAAAAAAAGAGACTACTGTGCCTTAACCATAGGTCACCAGCCCACTGGGGTCTATGTTGGGACACAGGGTAGCCACCTCACTTGCATTTTCTAACAGCCTGGCCCCTGAAATGCTGACACACATATCTATAATGCCTCACTGAGCAGAAAAGAGCACCCTGGGTAAAGATGTTCATGTGCTCAGAGCATGAATTTAAGAAGAGAGGAAATGGACAGTGGAGTATGCCCACCAGAGAGATCTCCAAGTCCCCTGATCTGGAACATTTGGAGTTAGCTGAGCAACGGACAACAGGAGGGGCGGGGGAGGGGTTGTTCCATGTAGGCCAGTTGAGAAAGGCATGAAGATGTTGTTTCCTCTTGCACAGTACAGTCCTGCATTATAGACTTTCTGGTCTTTTTGGTGATACATCCCTCCATGAAGTCAATAGGACTTTAACCAGGGGAACTGAAGCTGAAGCTGAAAGAGAAAGTCGTCAAGAATGGAAAATTTCTGAAAGATATGAGATAGATCCAGAAGACTAGGAAGAGACCTGGCCAGAAAGCTGGGTCTTTCAGAGGTGAAAGAAGCTTTATGCAGCCAACACAGATCTGGGGCTAGTACCTGTGTCTGAGGGTCTGCGTGTCAGGGAGAGCTGCTGCTCATGGACGCAAGTTGCATCATCAACTGATTCCCTAGGGCCATGTCAGTGACAGTCTCAGTGAGAGCCTTTGCCTCCTTCCTGTCTTCTCTGCTGAAACTCCACGTGGTTTTGTATGAGGCTAGGAGGGTGCTTCAGACCTGGGCTGCCCAGATGAAGAGTGTGAGGCTGAGGCTAGTGCCAGGTCTTTCATGTGTCAGGTTGGGGACCATGTTGCTGTTGGGGATAATTTTTCTCTCAAGCACGTACTGTGACATGGTCTCGGTATATTACTCTTCCTATGAAATAGTCATCCCAAAGCGGCTAATGGTCAGGGGAAGTGAAGATCCAGTGGAAAAGGCATCCTATTTGCTATTTATGGAAGGCCAGAAGCACCTGATTCACCTGAAGGTAAAGAGAAGCCATTTTGTGAATAACTTTCCAGTCTACAGTTACCACAATGGCATCCTGGGGCAAGAATCACCTTTTACCTCCCACAACTGCCACTATGAAGGCTACATAGAGGGAATGTCAGGTTCTTTTGTTTCTGTCAACACCTGTGCAGGTCTCAGGGGCATCTTGATCAAGGAGGAAACATCTTACAGCATTGAGCCCATGGAGTCTTCAAGACGGTTTGAACATGTGTTATATACCATGGCACATCAAGCACGAGTGTCCTGCGGTGTCGCTCCCACAGATAGCCATGTGGTGTCCACTAGCTGGCAACAAGGGAGCAAGAAGCCTTATGATCGACAGGTGCTGTCCTACTTGTGGTCACACCCCAAGTACGTGGAAATGTTTGTTGTGGTCAACAACCAGAGGTTCCAGATGTGGGGCAGTAACGTCAATGAGACGGTCCAGAGAGTAGTGGATGTCATTGCTCTGGCCAACAGCTTCACCAGGGGAATAAACACAGAGGTGGTGCTGGCTGGAATGGAGATCTGGACCGAGAGGGAACTAATAGAGGTCGCAGTGGACTTGCAAGTCACACTCAGGAATTTCAATCGCTGGAGACAAGAGATGCTCTTCCGTCGTGCGAAGCATGACGTTGCCCACATGATCGTTGGGCATCATCCTGGACAGAATACGGGCCAGGCCTTTCTCAGTGGTGCCAGCTTAAGCGGTTTTGCGGCAGCTGTTGAATCCTTCCATCATGAAGATGTGCTGTTGTTTACAGCCCTCATGGTCCATGAGCTCGGGCACAACCTGGGTATTCAGCACGACCACTTGGCCTGCTTTTGTAAAGATAAGCATTTTTGCCTCATGCATGAAAATATCACAAAAGAAAGTGGCTTCAGCAACTGCAGCTCTGACTACTTCTACCAGTTCCTTCGAGAACACAAAGGGGCCTGCCTATTTAACAAGCCATGGCCCAGGGCCCGCAAGTGTAGGGATTCCACCTGTGGAAATGGCATGGTGGAGGACACAGAGCAGTGTGCCTGCGGTCCTCTATGTCAGCATGACCCATGTTTTCAGGGTAACTGTAAACTGAAGGCGAAAGCAGAGTGCAGTGATGGCCCATTTTGTCATAAGTGTAAATTTCAACATACGGGATATCCTTGTCGTCCTTCTAGTGGTTCCTGTGACCTCTCAGAATTTTGTGACGGTACCTCTGCAGTATGCCCCAACGACAGGCATAAGCAAGATGGCTCAAAATGTCATGAAATTTACCAGTGTATTAAAGGTCACTGTATGCACCCTAATAATCAATACACACAAGTATTTGGATATGGTGCAAAGTCAGCCTCACAGGAGTGTTACAATTCAATCAACAGCAAAGGGGACCAGTTTGGAAACTGTGGCATTCCTACCAGTGCTGGGTCACAATATGTTCGGTGTTCATCTGATAATATATTTTGTGGGAAACTTATATGTTCAGGAATTAGAAGTTTACCACAAATCAAACTCCAACATACAATGATTCAGGTCCCTCATTGAGATGACTCATGTTGGAGCATGGATGCCTATGTGTCTACTGACATTCCTGATGAAGGAGATGTGTACAATGGTACTTATTGTGCACCAAACAAAGTCTGCCTAAATTCCACCTGCACAGATAAAACCCCAGTGGTGTCTGCCTGCAACCCAGAAAAAATGTCTAACGGGAATGGAGTTTGCAATGATTTGGGGCACTGCCACTGTAATGAAGGGCATGCCCCCCGACTGTGCTACTGCAGGAAATGGAGGTAGTATGGACAGTGGCCGTCCTAGAAAGCCAGGTGAGATACCTTCAGGAGAAGGTGAAAATCAAAATAAGACTCATTCCAGAGGTCAAGATCTTGCTGTAGACATGATGATATTATCATTCATTATACTTTTTATAATACTATTATTAAGTGTAATTATTTGCTTGATCTGCTTGTTTAAAAAATCACCAGAGGCTGCCCCAGCAGAAGGTCTTCCACCGGCATCATAAATAAAGCCAGAAGCAGCAGAAGAGGCCCCAGAAAAAAAGAAGAGGAGGAAGAAGGAGAAGAAGAAGAAGAAGAAAGGAAGAAGAAGAAAAAGAAGAAGAGGAAGAAGAGGAGGATGAATCAGATTCCTAAGATTAGAAACAGGGAGATTAAGCCAAGTATAACAAACTCCTCAAGTACTGAGTGGGAATGAGAGGTTCCGTGAAGCAAAGGTGAAATGGAAATAGATGGCCTAGTGGCTCTAACTCAGATATACTAACGTGGAAGGAAGAATTTTTCCACTTTTATTATTCATTTTAGTAATTAAATTTACATTTAATATGATAAATATGTTAGTACCTTTTGCTTTTTCACATTTCACTTGAACCATTAACATGCATCTTTGGACATCAATGTCCTTGTATTTTTGGGCCAATTGTTTTAGTCATCAGAAACTTTTTCAGGACATGCTATCTTCTATTTAAGTTGTTTGACATACAGAATCATATGGACCTGAATTTATTACTATCTCAGGGATTTTCATTTTAAGAAACAACTACCTATTATGTGAAGACAGTTGTTTATGTGATTGGTTGTTCTAACTTGCCCTGTAAATGTGCATTCATCAAAGAAGGAGTTTTTAAATCCAAAAATAAATAAACCCTATTCATATTAGACACCTCTTCAGGTTCTACATGGTATAGTTATTGAGTCCACTTTATTCTGGGGCTCTGTGGGAGGGACTATATCAAAGTAGAAGACCCTGATAGCACGTAGGTTAAGAAGTCAGCATTGAGGTCCCCTGTTTTCCAAATCTGGCAGATGTTTAATATTATATATGTATATTTGATTTATTACTTCCCAATATTTCTAAATGCTTCTGTCTCCCTTTTTACCTAAAATACTTTTTTTCTTTGAGGCTAGCTTTTTATCTTTTTTATTTTTTTTATTTTTTGAGATGGAGTCTCACTCTGTTGCCCAGGCTGCAGTGCAGTGGTGCGATCTCAGTTCACGGCAACCTTCACCTCCTGGGTTCAAGCGATTCTCCTACCTTAGCCTCCCAAGTAGCTGGGATTAGAGGTGCACATCATCACACCTGGCTTATTTTTGAATTTTTAGTAGAGACGGGGTTTCTCCATGTTGGCCAGCCTGGTCTTGAACATTTTACATTCATTGTCTTAATTTAATCCTCCCAACCTCACCTCCATTTTGTACATGAGGAAACAGAGACTAAAGAGTTTGCTCTGGAGCTAGTCAGTAAGTGGTGGGACCTGCATCCCTTCCCAGGAATGAGTGAATCTACTGCCTTATGAGCCTTTTCCCTCAGTTAAAAAAAAAAAGTGGAGGGAAAGACATGTCCTTAATTGCCCAGAACAAAGTTGTTTCTTCAGTGCCTCTAATAAAACCTAAGCCTTACAAATGGATGCTGATCTCTATCATGAATCTACTGCACTGTATAGTCACTATGGATTAAATTGTCTTTTCTCCCACTACATCCTGACAGCATGGAGTGGCAAGTTGGCATCATTATTCAGTTTTGTAGGCCCAGCTCACTGTAGATGCTCAAGAAATGTTGACCAAGTAAATGATTTAATCAAATCCAACCATCACAACTGTGGCAATATTTGTGACTTGGGCAGGATTTTTTTTTTTTTTTTTTTTGAGATGTAGTCTTGCTCTGTTGCCTAGGCTGGAGTACAGTGGCACAATCTCGACTCACTGCAACCTCTGCCTCCTGGGTTCTTGCAATTCTCCTGCCTCAGCCTCCTGAGTAGCTGAGACTACAGGTGTACACTGCCACGCCCAGCTAATTTTTTGTATTTTAGTAGAGACGGGGTTTCACCATGTTGCCCAGGCTGGTCTCGAACTCCTGAACTCTGGGAATCCACCCGCCTCAGCCTCCCAAAGTGCTGGGATCATAGGCGTGAGCCACTGTGCCTGGCCTGGGCAGGATGTTTAAAAAAAAAAAAAAAAGATGGTATCTAGGCAGGGTGGATGGTGGAATAGAAGGCTCCACCAATCATCCTTCTTGAAGCAAGGACACCAACCTGACAACTATCTATACACAAAAAAAAGCACACTCTTAAGAACTAAAATTCAGAAAGGGTAACTGGACCAAACACAGCTGACACCTGCCAACAGAGGGAGCACTTAAACCAGTCCTAGCCAGAGGGACATGATAGATCCTAGCACCAGAACCTGAGTTCCTGCAAGCCTCACTACCATGAGCTAAAGTGCTCTGGGGCCCCAGAGAAACTTGAAAGGCAGTCTAGGACACAAGGACTGCAAAACCTAGGTGAGTCCTAGTGCTGAACTGGCCCTGAGACAGTGGACTTGGTGGGGGTGGGAGGCATGGGGACATGACCTACTTTGAAACCAGCTGGGTCGGCTAAGGGCATCACCCTTCCCCTCACTCCAGGCTGCACAGCTCACAGTTGTGAGAGACTCCCCTTCCTTCCACTTGAGGAGAGGAGAGCGAAGATTGGAAAGGTCTTTGTCTTATATCTTAGATACCAGCTCAGCCACAGCAAGATAGAGCACTTGTCAGAGTTCTGGGGACCCCTTTCCAGGCCCTAACTTATGAATGACAATACTAGACATTCCCTAGGCCAGAAGGGAACCTGCTACCTTGAAAGGAAAGACCCAGTCCTGGCAGCATTTATCACCTGCTAAATAAAGAGCTCTTGGGCCCTGAATAACCAGCAACAATACCCAGACACTAAATTCAGGGCTTTGGGTGGGAGTCTGAGATTTGCTGGCTTCAGGTGAGACTAAGCACATTCCCAGCTGTGGTGGTTATAGGGCAAGACTCCTTCTACTTGAGAAAAGCAGAGGGAAGAGTAAATGGAACTTTCTCTTACACCATAGGTACAAGCTTGGCCACAGGTGAGTAGAGTACCAAGTGAGCTGGGGTCCCCAATTCCAGGACTTGGCTCTTGGACAGCATTTCTGGACCTGCCCTGGGCCAGAGGGGAACCCAGTTCCCTAAAGGGTGAGCCCTGGGCCAGACAGCATTTACCACAAGGTAACTGAAGAGCCCTTGGGCCTTAAGGGAACTTCCGCAGTAGTCTGGCAGTACTCCCCATGGGCCCATGGTGGCGGTGACCACAGGGTAAGTCTCCTCTGCCTTTGGAAAGGGAAAGGAAGAGTGAGAAGGTCTGCCTAGCGGTTTGAGTGCCAGCTCAGCCACAGTACAACAGAACATCAGGTAGACTTCTAAGGTTTTTAAATCTAGTCCCTGGCTCATCTGGACCTATCCAGGGCCTGGGGAAACTCGATGCCCTGAAGGGAAGGACACAAGCCTGGCTGGCCTTGCCACTTGCTGATTGTAGAGCCCCAAGGCCTTGAGTAAATATAGGAGGTAGCCAGGGAGTGGTTACAGCAGGCCTTAGGCAAGACTCAGTGCTGTGCTGGCTTCAGGTCTGACCCATACAGTCATAGTGGTGGTGTCCACACGGGTGTTTGTGTCACTGCACCCCCGCTTCAGTTGGCTCAGAACAGAGATAGAGACTCTGTATGTCTGAGAGAAATTAAGGGAAGAGAACAAAAGCAGGCATCTGGCTGGCAATCCAGATTATTCTGGGTCTTATCTAAGACCATCAAGGCAGTATCTCTATGAATCTGCAAGAACCACAGCATTACTGGGCTTGGGATGCTCCCTAAAGCAGATAGAGCTTAGATTATAACACCTAAGTCCTTACAAATACCTGGAAAGCCTTCCAAGAAGGATAGGTATAAACAAGCCCAGACAGCAAAGACTTCAATAATTACCTAACTCTTCAATGCCCAGACACAGAAAAACATCTACAAGTATCCAGACAATCCAAGAAAATAAGACCTCATCAAATGAACTAAAGTACCAGGGACCAATCATGGAGAAACAAATATCTGACCTTTCAGAGAGAGAATTCAAAATAATTGTCTTGGAGGAAACTCAAAGAAACTCGAGATAACATAGAGAAGTTCAGAATTCTATTAGATAAATTTAACAAAGAGATTGAAATAATTGAAAAGAATCGAGCAGAAATTCTGGACTGAAAATGCAATAGGCACTTTGAAGAATGCATCAGAACCTTTCAATAACAGAACTGTTTAATCAGAGGAAAGAATTAGCAAATCTGAAGACAGGCTATTTGGAAATAAACAGCCAAGGAAGCAAAAAGAAAAAGAAAAAAGGAAGCATGCCTACGGGATCTAGAAAATTGTCTCAAAAGAGCAAATCTGAATTTTTGGCCTTAAAGAGGAGGCAGAGGAAGAGATAGGGGTAAAGTTTATTCAAAGGGATAACAACAGACCTAGAGAGAGGTATCAATATCCAACTACAAGAAGGTTGTAGAACACCAAGCAGATTTAACCCAAAGAACACTACCTCAAAGTATTTAATACTCAAACTCCCCAAAATCAAGGATAAAGGATCCTACAAACAGAAAGAGAAAACAAACAAATCAGGACAGTCTTCCTCAGCCTCATGGACTGCTGGGGTTGGGGCTGGGAAAATCAATTTTTTTTAAGAAAGAAAGAGAGCAAACAAAAAATATACAGTGGAGCTCCAATATTTCTGGTCACAGACTTCTCAGTGGAAAACTTAAAGGCCAGAAGAGAGTGGCATGACATATTTAAAGTTCCAAAGGAAAAAACTTTTACCCTAGAATAGTATATCTAGTGAAAACATCCTTCAAATATGAAGGAGAACTACTTTCCCAAACAAAAGCTGAGGGATTTCATCAATACCAGGCCTGTACTACAAGAAATGCTTTCAAGGGAGTATTTCAATCAGAAGGAAAAGGATATTAATGAGCAATATGTAATCGCCCTGAGGTATAAAAACTTACCAGTAATAGTAAATATACCAAAAAACACAGAATATTACAACACTCTAATGGTGGTGTATAAACTACTCTCATCTTAAGTAGAAAGAATAAATAATATACCATCAAAAATAATAACAACAACTTTTCAAGACATAGCACAGTAAAATATAAACAGAAACAACAAAATGTTAAAAAGCAGGGGTATGAAGTTAAGGTGTAGAGCTCTTATTAGTTTTCTTTTTGCTTGTGTTTATACAAACAGTGTTAAATTGTTATCAGTTTAAAATAATGGGTTATAAGATAGTGTTTGCGAGCCTCATAGTAACCTCAAACCAAAAAACATACGATACACAAAAAATAAAAAGCAAGAAACTAAATATTATTATATATTTTATATATATCCTCTTTTCTGCTTGTATAATATAATAATAAGTATTATTATTATTTGAGACAGAGTCATGCTCTGTCACCCAGGCTGCAGTGCAGTGGTGATATCAGCTAACTGCAATCTCCACTTCCTAGGTTCAAGCAATTCACCTGCTTCAGCCTCCCAAATAGCTGGGATTACAGGCACCTGCCACCATGCCCAGCTAATTTTTATTATTTCTAGTAGAGACAGGGTTTCTCCATGTTGACCAGGCTGGTCTCGAACTCCTTACCTCGGCCTCCCAAAACGCTGGGATTACAGGTGTGAGCCACCATGCCTGGCCACAAAAAACTAAATTATATTATCAGAGAAAAGCACCTTTACCAATAAAAGAAGACAGTAAGGAAATAAAGAAGGAAAAGAAGACCTCAAAACCAGCAGAAAACAGATAACAAAATGGAAGAAGTAAGTCCTTACTTATCAATGATAACACTGAATGTAAATGGACTAAATTCTCT